GAATATTTTTCGGGATTCCAACTGACGGAGGCGAAGTGACTCGACAGACGACAATTATGAATTAAGGGACTGATGCCAGAGCCCAGAAAACAGAAACAGAACTACAGAGTACAGACGAGCCACCACGAGTCCACGAGTGYCGGACGTTCTTCGGGGCTTCGGGCCGTTCGGCGTTCGGCTTTTTGTACAGCTAGAGATAACTGATAAGCCTGAAGCCATTTTGTATTTTTGTGGCTTACTGTTTGTTTTTGTTCCAAATACARTGGTATAATATTATGTTTATTCTTTGTTTGTATGCTCGGTTGCATATCAATAAATATATCAGGCGCCCCACATTGTAATGCATTCCAATTTCCAACTTCCAACATTAGACCAGTTAGACCTTAGACCTAAAGTATTAAGTATATAGTATCAAATAGTAAATACTATTTGGTAGTACGTTTATATATTATATTAACTTAGCTTATAGGTCTACGGATTAAATATTCACGAGCCATATTTTGGTTTTGTTTAACATTATTGTACCATTTGTACCTATTATTTCATAAAATAGAAGCGTCTTTTTACAAATTTCCAGCTGATTAGACCTTCAGAAAGAGATGAAAAATTATGTTAAGGATGGCCATGCAAATTTTCTGTTTTAAAATAATCATAGCATGTTTCAATATTTAGGTAAATATCGAAAAAAAACCCCTAAGTGGTGCCTAAGATAGTATTTGAATATAATTGGTTTTGTCATTCCTCAGTGTGTTTCTAATAGTAAGTAATAAAAAAAAAATTTGGTAAAAAATGGTGATAATTCCGCTAAATATCGTCTAAAGTCATTTGTTATTTTATTGTAATATAATTCTACGCATTACTACCATTATTTATTATTACAATTTATTTAACGATAATTAAAAAAAAAAAAAAAAAAAAAAAAAGGTCAACAACTCGACTGTTGGAAATGTCATCTATTCTGTGGTTAAACCCTGACTTTAGAACCTAGTAAATTGGTAAAATCGGTAATCATTTCCACCATCAAAAATCAAAATTTAAAATTAGAGATGGAAAAATATAGTAAGAATTACGTAATGATAAGATGTTACGAGAACAAGATAAAGACATTTATTAGATAAAATAAATTTGAAATGTAAATTGATAAAAACTAAAGTTATATTAAAGTATATTATAAAACTTATTAACGCTATTAAACTATATTAAAGTGGAAGTCACTTAACGGAATTTTACATGTTCTCTTCTGTTAATTTAATAAAAAAAATATATTTTCCGATCAGTCTTATGTTCACGATCATAGTTTATTTACGCATTTTTATACGTAAAACTGTAAATCTTAAACATTATTTTTTAGTAAAATTGTGTGCATCGGGTATTATGACATCAAAAATCGAATGTGTTGTTAGACAAGCAATAACTACATTTTCTGGTTCATATACATCAAAGGCTTTTCACGATAATTTGATTAAATTGAAACGTAATGCCAATGAATTGGACGCACGGTCAATTGGCTTAGATTTTAGATTATTGAGATGGGATACATATGAATTGAACAACAATCTAGATAAATTGTCTGGATCCACATTTATACGACGTCATCAAGCTCCCGTTACTTACATTGAAGTGTTTGAAGATGAAAATGTATCAATCGGAGTGTTTGTGTTGAGAGATGGTGCTAAAATACCTTTACATGATCATCCTTACATGTATGGTGTGTTGAAAGTTATTTATGGTAAAGTTAAAATACAAAGTTACACTCCTGTGCATAAGGATTATAGCCAAATAAAGTAAGTATTGTATTTGTAATATTTTATATTTTTTTTTAGTTTTTGCCTAAAAGTTTCATATTCACAGGGACTGTAACATTGGTGCAATAAAATTGACACCAATTATTGTTGGGGAAACAGATGATCCGTGTGTGCTGTGTCCAGTGGAAGGAAATATTCATCAAGTGGATACTATTGATGGTCCAGCCGCTTTTGTTGATATATTAGCTCCACCGTATAAAACTGATATTCCAGAAGTAGGGAATAGATGTTGCAGGTACTTTAAAGAAGTAAATATATCTAAAGATATCAAATTAGCTATTATATCAGATCCTAAAGATTACTGGAGTGATACATCTCCATATACTGGACCTCAATTTGATATACATTTTGAACCTAAAACTTAATTGTTACATTCTTCAAACACTTTTGTACATCATGTAATATAAAATAATATTATTTTATGACTACTAGTCAGCAGTGCCTAAATTTAACGATTATTGTACATATACATTTCATTTTATATTAGTAATGGGAGTTTGTGTATTTTAAGTTTTATAATTTACAGTATTTTTCAATAATAATATTTTTTTTATCAGACATTGGTATTATAATGAGATGTAATTTAGGCTTTAAGAAAGATACTTAATTATTTAGATAACTATTTTTATAAATTATTAGTTWATTTTCTATACAATAGAAAATGTAATTAAATTGATTTACATTCATGCATGTACTTATTATTTTTTTTTTAAGTTAATTTGTTAAGTTGTGTTTAAAATATTTTT